GTCGTATGCTGTTTCTTCTTATGTCATCCCATATAATTCTTAGGTTCTCTTCATTTCTCTTAAATCTTGGTTCTTTCTTTGTACAGGCTGGTGTCCATAGATTTATCTTCTAGTTGAGATATGCGGTCTTCAGCCAGTTCTAACCTACTCTTTTGTGCTTCTATTGTGTTGTGTAATTGTGTAATTTTGGTATTCATCTTCTAGATTTCTAACTGCTGTTTTTGTAGGAGTTCTGATTGTGCATTAATCTTGTTATTTTGTTCTTATATGATTATCCTGGGGAGCTCTGGTAGCATAGTGGGCTAAGACACTTGCCTGCTAACCAGATGGCTCGCGGTTCAAACCCACCAGTCACTCCTCGGAAGGAAGGTTGGGCAGTCCTACTTCCGTAGTGATACTGCCTCGGAAACCCAAGGAGGGGTCGCTATGAGGTGGGTTTGACTCGACGGCACATAACAACAACAACGATTATCCTGAGTTCTTCCAGGGAACTGTCTGTGTTCTCCTTGCTTCTGTTTGGGGTTTCCTTAGGTTCTTATAAAGCTCTATAAATGTATCTTCTAAATTCCTTCTTAGATAATTCTATTGCCTCCTCTTCCTCCGTGTTTAATGAGACCTTTGTTTGTCGTTTTGCTTATAATGCCTTGTCCTGTTTTTTTGTTTGATTTCAGGTTGCCTGTTGTTTACTAGACATTTTGAGGTTGTCTTTAACTGTTGGCTATGTATTGATTTTTTTCTGTTTTGGTTTTATAGTTTAATATTTTGAAAAGGCAAAGTTGGTGTATTTTATTTTTTTAGTTATTAATTCAGGCATGCTGGGTTGCTCTGCTGTTTTCTTTGGGATGGTGGAATCACTGTGTGGAATGTGGATATGGGTTTCTGTTTGTCGTAAAGAGGGTTTAGAGTTCGAACTAGGAGGTATTTTGGTGGCCGAATGTGGTTTGTTCTGTTGGATGAGTGAAGTTATTGGCGGAGAAGGTGGGGAGCGGAAGATCAGGAGAAGGGAAGTTCCCCGTTGGTAGGGGTGGTTTCTAGGGTTTTGAGTGGGCTGCTAATGATGACACTGTACTGTTATTCACAGGCCTGCAGCTCAATTTCAGCACACATTCCAGTTTTTAGGGGGTCGCCACCTTTCGCCAGGCTCAGACATGCAAAAACCCCGCTCCTGAGGCCCCTTGGCGCCAAAAAGCCAACCCAAGAAAACTGCCTGGCTCTGCGATTCACCACGGGGGCTCCTCTCCCTGGGCCCTCCTGCCTGCAGCACCGGCCCAACTGGCCCAGATTGCAGTCTGCCGCGGGAACTCCCCTGTGGGTCCTCTCTCCTGTGGTGCCAAAGATCCACTCAGTTTCAGTGGCACTGGAGTCAGGAGAGCACCTTATAGTAATCAATCAGTGGTCCCAGTATCACCAATAAAGTCAAGCCCAGGCCTCTGAGACCCAAGCCTGACTGGTGACCCACTGTAGGGGCACCTCCCCGGGCCCACCCACCTGTAGCACCAATGGACTCTACTCAGGTTTCAGTGGCGCCAAACATGCCATTTGCACCTAGCCAACCCAAGTTACCGATAAAATCAGGTGTTGAAGGTAGATCCTTGGGGTGATCGCTGATATGCTGGTGTGGTGTGTCTTCCTCCTTAACCCAGGGAGGTCTCGGATGGCCGTTCTTGGTTGCCTATCAGTGCTCCGCAGGATAGATCCTCCAATCTTGTTATTTTTTTCCCTGCCTGTCCCTTTCTCCCTTCCAATTCTACTCTGAGTTTGGTGCACTCTGACTCAGTCAGTGAGCTGTTCAGAGCACCAGAATCCCTAATTCAAACTGCTGTATGTAGTTTTTCAAACACTAAGATGCTAGAGGGAAATAGCGTGGTGATCACTAATGAGATTCCATTTTGAATCTCCCCTATTAATCACTTTGAAGTCAGTGATTTGTGATGATTTAAAGGTATGGCCATTTAGAAGCCCTAGCTAGGTCTTTTTTTTTTTTTTTTTTTAAGAAAAGGATACATGGGGGAAGGTTAGCTACAAG